AAAGATCTGCTAAAATCTGGTGATATAACATGCATTGTTTTGGTGCTTTGTGACAGAAGGTCCAGTTCACCAAATCTGCTTGGCAACAGGCTCCGGTCCTCACACATGTAGAAGAACAAGATTTTTTTTATTTAGAGTTTTCTGAATTCTGAAGTGACATTTTGATTCTCTATTGCCACCTCATGATAGATTTGTGTTTTGCACCATTGTAGCTATAGTAGAAGTGGTGGCCCTCACAAAGAAGTCACAGAACATGGGCCACACAAAGTCATAAAGACATGTGTGTGTGTGTGTGTGTGTGTGTGTGTGTGTGTGTGTGTCTCAGATGGCAGCTTTGATCAATGGACCCCCGAACAATGGGTGGCCTGAGTTGCAGGCCCCCCTGTATTTGTGATGCTAATAAGTATGCTAAACTGGCCAGGTGGTCTTCTCAGGTTGTGAGCCCCCTGGCACTGCAGGGCACCCTAAGACAAAGCAGAATCTTGGAATATACTAAGTGGGTCTAGGTGTGAGTGTAAAACAGGTCAACAGGTTAAAATGTAAATAGGTTGTCTGGTCACAAGGAAATGCAGACATCATGTCTCTACACAGAAGTTACAGCAGACACTTTCTACCTCAGTATCACCTGATTCTCATCAATACAATTGTAAGATACATAAGCAAGGAAAATAAATGCATTAAGAATAACCAAAAGTCAGTAGTTCTTGACAATCATCAATACAGCTGTAATATGTATAAACAAGGAAAATAAAGTTATGAAAGGTAACTAAAGGGAACTAAAGCTGTGAAGAGTAACTAGAGCTCATAAGAATCAAATCTTACAGGTGCTCACAGTGTCACAGCTGTCAACTGTGATTGGTTAAGGTCAGCATCTTCACACCTCAACTATTAGCATTACAAGCATGGTGTTTAAACACACAAATCAAATCAAATCAAATTTTATTTGTATAGCGCCAAATCACAACAGAAGTCACCTCAGGACACGTTACAAAGTAAGGCCCGCAAGGACCACTTGAGGCGCCTGTGAGGCATGTTCTAAAAATAGCACTGGTCACAATGAAGCTCCGTCTAAATTTTTTTTTTGTTGCTTTACTTTTTGAAACAAAAATGCTTGAATTAATTATAAATAAATGTTGCATGTTTGAATATATGTGTTTCCTACCATTATTGTTGTGTAAATCATTGTTAATAATTGTGAGGAATAATTAACATTGACATGTGAACAGTCTCTTCTCATAGTATTATTATTACTACATCTCTTATTGTTATTATTACTATTATTATTATTATTATTTAAAAGTGATCAGTGCAATTTTGTTATTCAGGAAGTTTGTATCAAACAGGTAGCCCTTCATACTACTCAGGTCCCTTGAAGTAGCCCTCAGTCTCAAAAAGGTTGGTGACCCCTGGTCTAGACCTTACTGTTATCATTATTATTGAGGAGGAAATTCCCAACAAATCGCCCTTGAGCAGCACTTGGCACACACAAAAAGAAGAAAATGAAGAAATAGCCGGCATTCGAGAGTGGAGGCTCTTGGTGGGCGGCCTTCTGCCTCAACCAGTTGGGGTGAGTGGATAGAGGAGAGAGAAAAGAAAAGAAATGCAACAAGACACAGCAAATAATCAAACACTAGTCAGGTTGATGTGGCCGGTGACTGCTCATCAGAAACATAGAGCTCCAGAGCCAGGGCAACCTGCAGTAAGGTACAGGGAGAGAGAGAGGACACACAAAGTTAGTGATGTGTAATGGTGGCATATAGAAGCATAGGGAGAGAGGAAAGGAGAGGGGAGGGGAGGATAGGGGAAGAGAGCATCATGGGGTCCCCCAGCAGCCTAGGCCTATAGCAGCATAACTAAGGGAAGGCTCAGGGTCACCTGATCCAGCCCTAACTATAAGCTT